ACTCAAAATTGACCAAAGACCTGGATTTAAGAGCTAAACCTATGAACTTCAAGAAAAAATATAGGAATAAATATTTGGCCTGGTTTTGGTCATATGAGACAAAAAAAAAGGCAAAAAAGAAAAGATAGATAAATTACCCCTTATCAAAATTAGGAACTTCTGTTCACTGAAAGACAGTTCTTTTTGATTTATAGCAAGAATGTTGAAAGACAACCTATAGAATGGAAGAAAATATTTGCAAATCGTGTCTGATAAGGGTCTAGTATTCACAATACACACATTCTATGAAAAGCTCCTATAACTAAACAACAAAAAAGATGAACTCTTGAAAATATGCGCAACATCATTAGCATTTAGTCCATTCAGAGTGTTTTCAACCACCACAAGAAGTCACACGGTTTGTGACTCCATTCCCATGAAATATACAGAATAAATACATCTATAGAACAAACATAACTTGGTTCTTGGTAAGAGGATACGGAAGGTCAGTTTAATGTGTATGCAGTTTTTCTATGGAGTGATGGGAATGCAGTTGTAGTAGTTAAAAGTAAGAATTTTATGATGCGACAATTATCTCTCACTTGTCTTTTGACACTGGGGTCTGAACCCAGGGCCTAAGTCCCTGGTCCTCTACATTGGGCTTGAATTGCAATCCTCATCTCCCAGCCTCTCAGAGTACTGGGGTAGGCATGAACCAGCACACCTAACTTTACCTCAATAGTTCTTTAAAGTGAGTGTTTCTGCACTGCATATTAGTGCTTTCTCCAGGTGGCTGACTTGGACTTCTCCCATATCACAATTGTGAGAAAAACAAAACAAAACAAACAAAAAATCCACCACATTATTTAAGGCCTCGTGGAAGAATTTTTTTATTTTTTGCACCAGGGATCAAACTCCAGACTTTGCTTATGAAAAATCTGAATTGCCAAAATTTAAGACTCTAAACTTTTAAGATTACAGATATCTAGATTTTTTTTTCTTCTGAAAATACAGGATGGGCTGGCAACGCTGGTCACACATTCCCACATGGTAACAGTTGGCTGGTTCCACATAGCAGCTGCCCTGTAGATGGGCCGGGCTCTCGGTTTCTCACAGTCCACACATGTGTCCTCAGTGTGAGGGCCTGCTAATATTAACTCACTTGCTTATTTGTTTCTTATAAAAGTGCTAAGAGGGAAGTGAAAATTTCTTGCATGCACATTTCTATCCAAGATGGAAAAACCAAATCTAAGAGGGCCATGTGTTTTTAATCTCAAAAAATTATGCTAGACTCTGTCCACTTAGTGATTTACTTAGTATTTAGTGAGTACCTACCTTGGGCCGGCACTGCTGTAGATGCTGGCAAGTAGTTTAGACAATGGAGCTCAAGTGCTTACACATTCCAGGTTTCTTAGCTGCTCCCCCTGGCTACTGTGGCTGTAAATCGTGGTTCATAGGAATGAAGAAAAGATGCTGCAGTGTTCAAACCTGAAGCAGGAGTGGAGGGGGTGAAGGCTGAGAGGCGGCTGACGGATGCACTGACTGGGAATGTTATTAGAACGCAGGAAGGGAGGAGTGCGATGAGATGCAGGCAGTCAGGGTTCCTTCACACCACTGGAAAGGGTGGGAACATAACGGGAACAGCGAGGCCAGAGGAAGTTCTGTTCGATGTATAGGATGGGGGAGATGTGTATACATTCGTAAATCAAGACAAGGCACCTTTGGAAAGGGACAGATTCAGGGTTTCAGAGAAAGTTTAATGCTCTAAAATGCAAACAGTACTGTGGGAAGGGATGAATGACAGAGAAAGATGAGAATATGTTCTAGGAGACAGAAAATAACTGGAGGACCAATAACTGACTCCACACATAGGAAGAGGCTAGAACTTCAGAGTTTCAGGTGGGAGAATGTTGGTGAGAGGTGATTCTGTCTACTGTACAGGACTTCGGAGTTAGGAGGACCCAGGCTATGCCAAAGCTGGCGAGGAGTGTGTGGTGAACATGAGACTCTGAGGCCCCAGGTTCCCACCTTTTCCATGCAACCAGACAGGAGGAGGGAGACTTACTATCTAGAGAAGTCTAGCCAGATATCTCTGCAATGAAAAATCTAGACTGAGGGTACACAGAGGAGTCACAGAGGCAGCTATGAGGTGTGACACCAAAAGTCAAGAGTCAAAAGTAAAATTCTGTAGCGAATTGTGACTCCCACACCCACCTGCTTCTGGCATGCCCCTAGCCGGGTGGATACCACTCACCTACCGAGTGGGGAATAGGATTCTTCCTTGGATAAACCGCGGCTCTCTACAGAATGTTCACCCTATATTAACATTTGAGGGCCTCACAGTGACATGTTCCTTCCAGTCATGCCATGGAGTGAAGCTCGCTTGTAGATTGGGTGTCAGCACTTAAAGTGTTTACAGTTACAGTTTCATCACTTCCTCTCCAACCCAAATGAGCTACCGCATATCACTGCAAAGTAGCGTATAGCCCCTGTCACGGAAGACAGAATCAAACTGTCAACAGCAAAAGCTAATCGGGACGCAGTAGAGACTTTCAGAGATGCAGAGATAAACATTAAAAATCACAAGCAGTTCATAGTAAAGTCAGATTAAAAATATTAAATTCAGGATAGTGATTAAAATTCTAAATTCAGGATATTTTGAAAAGAAGAACAAAACAATCTTGGAGATGTACATCTATATCTTAAATATCAATACATGCATAGCTATAGATAGATATGTAAAACAAAAATCAATTGATGTTGATTACAAGGATTGGAAAATCAGAGGAATAGCCCCAAAAGTAGAATAAATGTTATAAAAAATACGAGAGAAAGGGTAAGAACATTAGGTAGTTAATACGGGAGTTAAACAGTTATCCAAAAAAAGTTCTTAAAAAGGGAGAGAAGAGTAAATAATACAGAGAAAACAAAGTATTTTTAGCAATGTACATCCCATTTCTGCAGACGTTTACGGTAGAGTAAAGGAAGGAATTATGCCAGGCATAGTAGCATTATCAAATCCCGGAACATGTGAGGTAACAGTTGGCCCCTCAGAGTTCCAGGATGGCGAGCACAGACAGCACACTGAAGCCACGTGGAGCCACAGCTATGGTGGCACGTGGTGGGGGAACTGCTGCGGGGCTCGCAAATCCCTCAGAGTAGTTTTGCTGTCACTGACTAGTTCAGAATTCCCGTTTGGAAGTGGATGGTGGGTGTCATCCCTCACCTCTCTGTGCTCCCACCTTTCAGGATTACAGCTTGTCCCAAGGAGAAATGCCAGGCAGTAAATTCTGGGTTTTGTTTTGCTTGAATAAAGGACATTACTTAAACCAATAGATACAGGAATTGTCACTATAACTTGCTTTGATGTTAGTGACATTCCAGAGAAAAATCTCATTTTGATGGAATTGATAAAGAGTTCTTTGCTACTTGCTTACTTATTACATAATGATGCAGTTGCAATAAAGTGTGTTTTCTCTTTTTAATAAATCCTCTGGGAAGAAGGCAAGACTAGAGTGCGTCTAGGTATATTTATAGTTTATACACACCCATTTGCCCTTAGAAAGGTGAAAACACTGCAAGTCAGAAAATGTATTTGATATATTGAATCACACACATGGGAATGGACACACAGTAACTGTGGGGCACCTGTTGCTTACTCTCCCAGTCATGAGCTGCCCAGGGCTGCAGCTCCTGCTACAACCTGGTACCTAGCAGAGTAGAGGACATTGCTGACTCTAGCCCCAAAAAGATCAAAATTCAGAGTCGAGTAGCGTCTACCAACTGCGTATCATTTTCACACCAGTGTTAAATCAGCCCTCTCTACACACACATGCATGTACGCATGTGCACTTTAATACAAAACTAAACAAGAACTTGAGATAAGCTCAGCTTTTTCGTTTTTTTTTTCCTGATTTCTGTATCACATGTGTCTTCGACACAAACAGTAAAAAGAAAATTTCAGTATTTGCCATGATAGCTTGGTTCTCCATTTCATTAGTTGTGTGTTAGGTTCAGTAGAGCAGAGAATAAAATTCAAAGATAATAATTACTGTTTTGTTTGATGGCATTTTACTTATATTTAACAGCTTGTACCTATGTATGTCCTCAAAGAGATTCTTACTATTGTGCATGTGTTTATGAAAAGCAGGGTTTCTGCCCTGCAGAATTTTTACATTCAATGAGACTAAATTTTAAAGTCAGTTTAAATAAGCATCCTCATTTTCTAACGAAAATTAAATCCATCTTTGTTCTCTGTGAATTTTTTTCTGATTTTCTTCATGATTTTAGCAAAACCAAACTTTTGCAACATGACTGAGGTAGAAGGATATTTGGATTGGCTCTTGGCTTTTCTCTGCTACCTAGAAATATTCTTAAATTTTTTGTAGGAATCAAAAGTAAAGATAAATCTCCTTGCTGTATTTAGTCTCATCTTAAACCAGTCCTAGGAAATCAGTGTTAGCAACTTGCTTACAAGTATTTAATTTGATAGAAGTTCTTTGCTGGGGATACAGCTCAGTGGCACTGTGCCTGCCTTGCAAGTGCAAGTTCAGCACCTGGTACCAAAAAAAAAAAAAAAAGTTATTTGAAAATTATGCATTTATTATTAAGTATCTTTGAAGTTCTCTATACTTCTTTCTACTAGTAAAATCAAGAAATATTATTTATGTCGTGATAAATTATAACTGTTTCTCAGACTGCAGTGATTTCTAAGATTTCTCCTCTGTTGAAACATCTTCAATAGGAGAACATCACAACCTAATACCATAGCCTCTCTACTTGTCTTCGTATTCCCCAGACTTCAACCCACCATACCAGATGGTTAAAAATAGTAACGGAATGAGAATATATGGTAACTTCCATAGTTCCAGTAGGTAAATTACTGTCAAAATGAATAATGAATTATAAGCTGATGACAATAAATATGGTGGCGATTCCATGCTACATGGAACTGCATGCCCACATTCTCTTTCCTTGCCATCTGTAGTCTTCCCACAATACTCTGTTCTTTATTCCCACAGTAAGGTATTTCCCAAAGGTCTTCCAGAGGAATTTTCCATAGCAGCCACTTTTCGTGTACGACGAAACACCAAGAAGGAACGGTGGCTTCTGTGGCAGGTGTTAAACCAGCAGAATGTGCCCCAGGTAAGACACCACAAGAGTTGTGCTTAGCCATTCCCTTTGTGCCACCCGGCCAGGTGAGTCTTGGAACTGCATGCCCCCACCTGGGAATCGATCTGCTACACGAATATTCTATCTTTCAGATAAATTGCTAATAGGGAGATGCAAGTGTTATAATTAAGATGATCTTGCTGAGATCTATGGGAGTCTGGTGGGTGAGAGAGTTATTTGTCTTTTTAACTTCAAGATTCATATTCTGTCTGAAGATCCTGGGACTATTTCATTCACAGTCTCCACCTACTAGTAGCTTTTAACCTCCTGTCAACTTTGATGTTAAATATTCTTTCTAGAGAGGCTCATTGTTTCACCTGACAATCCTTGGTGAATGAAGGGGTGAGACTTACATGTTTATTACATCAATAACAAACTATGGAACACCATATAAGAGATTTAAAGAACGGAACTTTTCTTAAGGAGCATAAAGTGTTAGGGGAAGACATTCTTAGCAGAACAGTCTAACAGCACGATGAAGTGGCACTGGGTGGGGACTGTCAGAACACAGAAAGGGATCCCATGAAAGACAGCAGGAATCCAGGAAAGCTTGGCTGAGAAATGGCATTGGGAAAGAAATGGCGATGAAAAGAAGGCAAGGAGAAGCCCCAGGGATCTCCGGATTACTTCTGAACATCATGCATTTGTGTCTATTTTTATACATTTTCATTGAAATGCTTTTAATATTGCCAATCATTTTATCTGTTCACACAGTGATGATTTTATAATAGGAAGATGAATTGAACTAAAAGTGTATATCAAATATATTTGGTTAAGGAAGCTGATCTCCGTTCCCTGCAAAAAGAAACAACATTTTCTTATTTTAAGTTGGTAACCTTTAATTCTTCTTTTACTTTATCCTATTATTTTTTGAGACAGGGTCTTGCTATGTAGTTCAAGCTGGCCTTGAACTCGCTTGTGTGGCCCAGGCTGGCCTCAAACTCATGGCGATCCTCCTGCCTCAGCCTCCTGGGTTCTGAGATTATAGGTGTGCATCATCATGCCCAGCTGTAACCTTGGATTCTTGAGTTACTCTTACAGAACAATAATTCATATATAAATTTATGTTTTTATATAAATTAATTTATATAGTATCCTTAAAATTGTAAAATACATATTTATAATTTATTAATATAAAATATGTTAAGTAATGATACAATTATATAAAGTAATTAAATATAGTCTTTTGGTGGGTACTGGGGATCGAACTCAGGTCCTTGTGCTTGTGAAGCAGGAGCTGGAACCACTGAGCTAAATCCCTGGCCCTAAATATGGTCGTACACATATGCATGTTCTCAGACCCTCTCTCAGGTAGGGTCTATTGCGTTCGTCACTGTGCTCCTCTCTGAGAGACCCTGTGCAGCTGGGGTTAGTTATTCTCTCTTGTTAGCAAATACAGGTGTCATCAAAAATATGGTATTAATGTTTCACTTGTACAATCGTGCATCTTAGGTTGTATTGGGGAGCTTTCATGATTGTGAGCATACAATTTTTTTTAAAAAAATTAAACACTGAAAGACAACTTGTACTTTTGCAGATTTCCATCATAGTCGATGGCACAAAGAAGGTCGTGGAATTTATGTTCGAAGCTCCCGAGGGAGATGTGTTGAGCTACATTTTTAAGAACCGAGAATTGCGTCCTTTGTTTGATCGTCAGTGGCATAAGCTCGGCCTGGCCGTGCAGTCTCGGGCCCTCTCACTCTACCTGGATTGTAATTTCATCGCACACCGGCAGACTGCGGGGAAGGGCCCTGTGGATGTGCAGGGGAGGATGGTTATCGCTGCGCGCGCGGCAGACAGCAGGCCGGTGGATGTAAGTCCCACAGTCGTTTTGAAGGACGGCCAGTGCCATCCTTAAGTTAAAACAAGATGTTTCATTAAAAAGCTTCTTCCTTTAATTCATCTCCAATAGAGCCCTGCTTGTCACTGTTTGATTTGCCAGTGGATGTGTAAGGGCTAGTTACTCATTTCCTGCGATGTCTCCACCGGTATTTTCTTCACTATTTCCACTCACTGTCTCCAGTATGTACATTTCAAAGAATTTGGTCACGCCTTTAAAAATAAGAAGTAAGTTATTAGAAGCAAAGTTCAGTAAGAAATGAAAATATAATGTACAATGTAATTTGGTCTAAGCCCATAAGTTTTGAATAGGAAGGACTGCGAAAAGACGACCTTTAAATGATTCCAGATTATCTGTTTTTATTCATGAACAATAGCCTATTTTCTTCTTCCACACAACAGCAATTGCTTTGTATTCAGACTGGTTTTTTTTTAAAAGTAAACTTGGATTTTCAGGGTTCTATAGAAAGGGAATGCAATCACCAAAACATACCATGGGTCATTTGGTTGAGGAAAATTGCAGGAGAGTCTTGCAAATGAAAAGGGCCTTTACAAATTACATTGGAAGCTAAGTTAATGTAGACTTATTATTACTGATCTCCCTCGAAAAACCCACAGTCTTGTAAAAGTGAGAAACGTCTAGAGTGGATGGCTATAAATTTTCTTGTGGGTGCAATGATAGGCAAATCCCCGAAACCCTGAAGGCAGTCCACCAAATAGAAATGCCACTTTTGTTCACAAGAATGACTTACTACTTCAACTTTATTTTTAAAATATAGTTTTGTACAAATCTGTATTTGGTCAACTTAAATATTTCTAAATACACCTACTTTAAAGAATTGCTTTTGGAAGTATTTTCAGTAGAGAGAGTGGGTGAGAAAATCACTGTAGCATCACTAAGGCTCAAAGGCAACCAGAAAACAGGAAAGGGCAGAAGCACCACACACGAGAATAAGACGTCGTTGGCATCGGGTGATTGAGCTGGCTTGGGTGTCAGACAGATGAGAGTTTAAACCCAGCTCAGTTGCTTAGCTTGTTATCTCCTGTCAGTTTATCTATGTAGGTGTTCATTCATCCAAGCCTCAGTTTCCTCAATTAAGACAGAACTGATAAAGTTCCTATTTGTAATCATGCAAGGTCTATGCCATACTGAGTAAGGAATGCACACTCATTTCTCAGTGTATCCATTTATCTATCCAGGACCAGACACATAAGAAGGTGACACACACACACACACACACACACACACACACACACACACACAGAGAGAGAGAGAGAGAGAGAGAGAGAGAGAGAGAGAGAGAGAGACTGTTTCTGTTCTCAAAGATCACAAAGGGTAAGGGAAGGATTCAAATCCATCAGTAAATGGTGGTTGCTAATAATAATAGTAGTACTCATAACAACAGTACTGAACAGACCTTTCAGAAAGCACTCTCCAAATGCCACCAGAGGCAGCAGGCCCCAGTAGAGTGGCTTCTGAGACGTGAGCTTGAGGAGTAAGGAGAACAAGTAGGGGCAAGGCAGCTTCAGGTCCAGGGGAGGGACAGCAGCACCTGCTTGGGGCACCAAGTTCAGATTTGGAATCTGGACTCCTATAGGACTAATAAGGGAAAGGCTGTTCTCTGGCTTCAGAGGACCCGGAGGAATTCGTGAGGAAACTGAGCTAAGTTTGTGGAAATAAGAGTGGCTGCAAGAAAGACAGGAGTTTCTCGAAGAGTGAGAATCAGCCTTGGAGCTTTACCTCTAAAATGTGAATGTTGTATGTCCTGGGTCACACTTGCTTTTCAAAGGATGAGAGCTGGTCTCAGAATTACAGCTGAAAAATATCAGACACATCTTCATAAAAGGGCATTAGTAAAAATGATGTGCATTATTAAAATGATGCCATTTTTTAATGTGGATTCTTAGTTCATTTGAGGATAAAATTGAAAGTATATCATGAGGGAGTCACCATTTGAATTAAACAAAATGCATACATATTTAAAAGACTCTTAGTCCTTCTAAAACTGTCTACTTATTTTTCATCATCTTCAAATATGTTCTATAAACTTACAGAACTAATGGAGGTGACAATGTTTTATTTGTTGAGATGGGTGCTACTGAAAAAAATCATTCTAAAGATTAGGTTTTATATTATATATTCTATCTGTATGCTTTTGTGAGAAAGTTGACAAAAATGATACAGAAAATTTTTAAAGAAACAAATCTTCAGTTTGACCTGAGTCAGTGTGACAAACTTGGCTGTGAATATTCTCTTTCTAAAACATTGTACCAATAAAGGATTCTAAGGTGTCAATAATGAAAGTACGAGTAAACTAAATTGTAATTTCAATATGAAGAATACTCAATTTCTAATCCCTCAAAAACTGGTAATCTGTCTTTAGCTAAGTATAATAACTTACATGTAGGGCCTAACACAGTAAATGGCACACAGTAGGATTTCAATATCTTTAGCTACTTTGATAACAACAATGAGATAAATTTTAGTAAAGAGCAATATTAATTAATTGGAATCTCTGTTCTTTATTCTACATAATATTCTCCATTCTTTACATGTTACTGCCAGTATTTCATTACAATATTTATGACAGTGTATTTAAACTTTACAAATAAAAGCTAACCTCAATAACTCTGTGAAAAGTTACCAAAGAAAAATCATTAAATGTCACCTGGCCTCAGAGTTTTTCATTACAGTACCTGCAAGGTATTTGGAGCTCTGAAGACTTCTAGGAACCAAATTGATTTTGTTTATCTTAGTGTAAAATCATCCCTTTTTCCTTCCTCTGTGTGTGCGCTGAAATTCGCCCTAACAATTTGGACTTTCTATGAAATGTAGTTATTGATTAACTTCAAAGTAATGCTACTGATTAACTTCAAAGTAATGCTAGCTCTGTTACACTGCAGAAATGAAGAGAAAGAGGAGAGAGAGAGAGAGAGAGAGAGAGAGAGAGAGAGAGAGAGAGAGAGAGAGAAAGGAGGGAAAGGAGGGGAGAGAGATTCCCAACTCATACATCAAATCATCATACAATTAATTATCAATTAAACTAAAAATTTTGTAACCACAAATTAATTTCAAGGTTCCGCTCAATACCTAGGTATGAAAAGCATTATTTGATACTTTTCAGTGCCTAAGAAGTTCAAATAGCTCATTTAAGTATTAATCATTTTGACATTTTATTATTAGTATCATTTATTTATTAGAGAGTTGTTTAATCTCTCATTAAAGAACATGATTATACTGTCCTTGAACTACTTTTAATTTTATGTCAATATGTCAAAAATATGAATCTAAGCAAATAAAATAAATTACATTATAAAATGATTATAAATATTGCTCAGTAATATTCTAATATGATATAAAAGCCATATTCTTTTAGACAGAATTTATAAAACACAGATAAGGAACTAAACACATATATTTTCCTTATTGAGGATTGTTTAATTCAAAAAAGAGGTATAGAAGTACAGATGAAGTCTTTCCATCATATGCTCATTCGTACTTTGACTTCAATTTTTCCTCAATTTTTTATGTTGAAATATTTTCATTTTGTGTGCATAGTTTATTGTGCATAATACTTTTTAATTAAATACTTCTATTTTATTGTTTGAAACAATTCGTAAGTTTTGCAATTATTTTCATTACCTGATTTGCTTTATCTATAGGGCTACCTCTGTCTCTAAATGTACTTCCCAAGAGTTCCATAAAATAATAAATCCTAAATACATAAAATTAACTTATATTAACTTTCCTTTTCATTCCAGTTAAATTATCATAGTTCTTAACTATGTCTAAATATGACTCTCATAAACATCTAATGATGTATTTTCTACTAATTTTTTAACAGATTGAACTTCACCAACTTAAAATCTTCTGTAATACAAACTTCATCGCTGAAGAATCATGTTGTGAAATATCTGCTACTAAGGTAAGTTAATTTTCTTAGCATGTGAAAATGACAACACCAGCTATCTTTCACTTGCATAGTCTGCAGGGTCCAAGTGAAGGGCAATGCTGAATATCTTCTGGCGAAGCCGGGTGAATAATTTATTTCAAGTAATGAAGCCTTCTTAGTGCTTTCTCATAGTTTTAAAATATTGAATTCCAGAATTTCAAGGTGAATTTTGGGGACATATGTCCCTCACTTTGGACTCTACATAACTAAAAGAGAATTTATACCTTTCTCCTATGTTCTGACAGTAGCAAAATCACTTTCTACTTATAGACATTTAAAATCTATCATCACAAACCTTATTCTCATTCATTTCCCTTACTGGCCTGTCTCCCATCCTGTCTAGTTTTTCTTTGGGATACATTTTCATCTTCACCTTCTTTCCTCTGATTACTGCTGAAGTCCACTTAACTTTATGCCTGGAATTTTGCTGCCTTATATCTATCCATTGTGTTTCCCATCTCCTGTCCTTTTTCTTAGCAACATAATCAAAATAAGTCTCTGAATCATTGCTTTATATATTCATTTACTTTCTTCCAGCAATTATTTATTATTCAAAACACTGACCTTCTAGTGGCTGCTCTAAGGAACAGGGCTAACAAACAGATAAATTTCATATCTACTCACGTTTTCTCATAGCTTTAGGTGGCACTCTCTTGGCAACAAAATATGAATCTAGTTCCTTAAGCCTCTCATTCTGTGTATTCCCAAAGTAGCTCTGATGTTAAGCTTAATTGTCAATTTGATTGACTTGGAAGCCAACTAGGGGATTAGTAGAGCATACTTCTGGCTGTGTCTAGCTGGAACATAGAGGTGTGACTACATATGGCCCCTGGCCCTTTCCTCTGTTGTGCTGTTCTCTTCCTCTACTTTATGTGGCTGTGAACTAAACATCTTAGTTCATCTAAGCTCTTCTTCCATGATGTTTCTGTCTTGGAACCAGCCTACCATGGATTGGCTACCCCAAATCTTCAAGCCAAATTAAAACTCTCCTCATTTAAATTGTGGATTTCAGATAATTTGTCCCAGCAATGGACAAGCTGACTAATACAGAAATTGATATCCAGGAGAGGGGTCACTGTGACTGTACAGTACATGAACATGTGGTTCAGAAGCCTTTGAAACTGGTATGTGGATGGAGTTTGGAAAGGTTTGGAGATATGGGCTAGAATGCTGTAGAAGCACAGAAGACTAAGGTGCCATTATAAATGCAGTAAAGGCCAGGTTTAGGAGGTTTCTGGTGAGAACAAGAACTCTGTTGGGAAATGGACTAAAGGCCATATGTGCTACATTCTGCCAAAAAAAAATGTGTCTACATCTGCTTTATATCCTTAGACTCTGCAGGAGACTGAGATTAAGGGGCAGTAGATTAATTTATCTGGTGGAGGAAACTTTAGGGCAGCCCAACATTCAGGCTGTGGCATGAGTACCGCTGGTTGCTTTTAGCCAGACTAACAGTGAGAATTGGGAACAAAAACAAGAACATGAAATGTTGAAAAACTTAAATTTGTATTCAAAAGGAAACATGGTTGGGGCCAAAGGAGGTATGATTGCCGAAGAGATTACTACCATCAAAGAGGGAGTACAAGGGCCAGGGATTTGGCTCAGTTGTCCACTGCCTGCCTTGCAAGCACAAGGGCCCAAGTTCAATCCTCAGTACTAAAAACAAACAAGCAAACAAACAAAAAAGAAAGAAAGGACAAGAGAAAAAAGTGCCTTGAGGACATCTCAGAAATTAGCAAGGCCCCACCCATGGCAGGCTGAGGGATGCAAGAGTGTCAACCTTTCATTTGAGAAGAGTGCCTGGAACTCCAGCTCCAGAAGAGGTCCCCAGGAAATCAGTTGCCTGCGATGGGTGTCACCATTCTCAGTCATCCAGGCACTTACAGACCATGGCAGCTACAGTCCAAAGAGTCTGACTACTGCTCCCACTGACAGCAGACCTTGGCACTATTCATGTGATTCTGGTTTTACTAGTGTACAGAATGTGAGTTGTGTACTCATGCAAGCTTCCACCCAGATTTCAGAGGAAAGTCTGGGAAGCCAGGCAAAGTGCCCTGAAGAGGCAGGTGCATGAGACTGTGTGAATGAAGCTGAAGGTACAGTGGAGAAGCAAGGAAGTCAAAGATACCAGGAATATGCAACTTCTGCCAAGGAAAGCTGATGCTGGAAACAAGTAGAGCCAGCTTAAGCGAAAAACTTGTGGGCTGCAACAAACAAAGCCATGGGGACACGCCTGTCCAAGCCTTCTGAAACACATTTCACCACTGTGTGCCCCAGATTCAAACATGGAGCTATAGAGTTTAATGTTTTTCAGGCTGGTTTTGGTCTTGCTTTAGTCCTATTCTTTTCTGTCTCCTTTCTGAAATGTGAATGTTTATCCTGTGCTATTGTAACCTGTGACCATGTACCTTGTTTTTGATTTTTTAAGAAAGAGGTTCACAGGTAAGAGTTTGCTTCGAGTCTCAGAAGAGACATGATCTTGAACTGTTGAGATTTTGGGAAAGGATTGTTGTATGTTTGGTTGTATAAGAGATACTTGTATCATGTTAAATGGAATTATTTACTTGTTATCGTGTTTATTTGGTGATTATAGTTTAATGAGGTGTGTTTGGGTGTCAACTGACAATGGATCAAATGTGCCGAGTTTAACTGTCAACTCCATTGAGTTGGGAGCTGCCTGAGCAATTAGTAGAGCATATTTTTGGCTTTGTCTGGTTGGGCTGTGGAAGCACGACCTTGGGAACTATGTGTGGCCCCCGACCCCTTCCTCTCTGCACTGTTTCCCTGCCCTGCTTCCCAGCCACGGTGAACTAAGTAGCTTTGTTATGTCGTGTCTATTCTGCAATCATACTCCTACCTTGGAGCCAGCTGACTATGGGTTGGATCTCTTAAACTCATGAATCACATAAACCTATCCTCCTGTAAGTTGTGGATGGCAGGAAATTTGTCCCAGCTTTAGGAAAGCTAATGTACTAATTGTACAGCTATTACTTCATTATAGCCATATTTCATTCCCAGAAAAATTCTGAATTCATGCCTTTCTATACTTCTCATCTTAATTGTAATATGTGCCTTCTGATCTGAAGTAATCATAGTTATTTTAAATTATTTAAGTACATTTAGATTCGGGGAGGACAGTTTTACTTTTATATCCTTTGAAACTTCTAGTGCTTTGTTCAAGATAGCCAAAGCATTATCTCTTGATTTGTTGACTTTGTCAACTATTAAAGAAAGGTGTTTGAAAGAAAGTTATTTAAAAAAAACTTACCAAAGCAAAATACATGAAAAGTAAAGGATGAAAAATGCTAAAATGTTTTTTAATCTTAGATTTCTTATTTAAAATTTAAAAAAAAACTTACCAAAGCAAAATACATGAAAAGTAAAGGATGAAAAATGCTAAAATGTTTTTTAATCTTAGATTTCTTAAAAGTTCTATACTTGTCAAAAATTATATGAAAATTTAATCAATAATTTGTAAGTAAAAAATAATACATCATGACTTCTCCTTTGTACTTTGGGTAGTAGAATGAAAATGTACCCAAGTGACTTAAAGCATAGAGAAGTGTATAAAATATTTTATGTTTTGCTTATGTAACTTGGCTCTATAAAACACATCTCCAACCCAGTTTATGGCTCTCATTCCAAGGAAAATGAAAGCCAGCCAAATATCTTTCTATAAATATCTAAAAAGATAATTTAGAATGCCAATCTACAGACTTGAAATGCTTAGACTTCCTGGAGCCACACTTTTAAATCTTGATGATATTAATTTTCCAAGTTTTTTAAATATGCTTTTTTTGATGTAAGAGCTTTAAAAATAATATTTTGTGTTACTTAAAAATAACATAATGTTGTTTTATCTAAGGCATTTTTGATCAATAATCATTCCATTGTTTCTTTATATAATAGACAATTTAAACTTAAACTGAATTATGAGAAAACTATGTAAAGAAATATAGGTAATAGATTGGATGAAGTGGTTTAGGAATTTGGAACAGTGAGTGACCTCACACATTATAAACAAAAAAGTGTTTTATCATGTTTTAAAAAGATTATTTGAAAATTAGTTTTAGAGTAAATCAGTTTTAGGAATTAATTTTCCAACTATAAGAAAAAAGCAAACATTGTTTTTTTATACTGATATTTATTTGGGGGAAGTTATGTCACCATCCATTTAATAATTCACAGGAAATAAAAACATACTAGATATTACCAGTAGGAATATATAGTTTGGAAGATAAATAATTATATTAAAGCTTTATAAAGCATTTGTTGTTCTTCTGATACAAATGCATTTTTATTTCTTCTTTTCTTTTTTTCAAAATGTATTAAAATCAGAAAATTTTAGTATATGCTTTTGTAAATCAAATTTTGTCCTGGAATTTCTAATTCAAAACGTATGTTTTTTGGTGTTAATGCTTTACAGAGCATGTCAGATGCGAAATTTACTCAAGATCATCTGTGAACATGTTTCTTCTTTAAATTAGATTTTCCATTTCTGAAGTGGTCAAGTTTTATGATAGCAAGACCGAAAAAGAGTGAGGAACAAATACAAAGAGCTGCAACATTTGTTGAAAATAAATGAGAAATGTGATTACAATTTCAAGGGCTAATTTACTGAACAAGTCAAATCAAAATCAGAGATTTTTATGAGAGGCAGAGAGCTTCCCGGAGTGCTTTATACAATGCTTCTGGGGAAGTGGACAGTTTTACAGCGAAGCCTAAGAAATAATTTTCATATTAATTAGATCCCCCATGTAAATGCTCAAATATCCAGGGCAAAATCATAAGGGGATCTTGGTTATTTTACTGGGATACGATGCGGTGAAAACTGGCTGGAAAATAAGAACTGTTTTGGTGATAATCATTATTATTGAATATGGTTTTTATATTGTTGGACTTGGAAACTTACAACTAGATAATCTAAAAAGCCTAAGTATGAAAGAGCTAGTGGTAAAAGAGGAAACTAGTGCCTATTTTGTTATAGCTTTTATTGTTATCACAAAGCCTTAAAGCATTATCCAAATATTTTTCAAAATAATTTTTGTTATAAGTTGTGCATGTTTATTTTAGAAAACTTGGAAATACCACCCAATGAAAAAAAGGAAGTTAATTTCAACCATGGCCTCAGATAATATTTGACAATATTTTAGTTTTGCATCCTGAAAATACTTTCCTGTGCAGTAATAATGTGAACTTTTTTCCTGAATACTTTGCAATACTTTGAAATAAGTTTTCATAAAACTTTAAATTCTTAATCATGGTGACAAGCCTGATACATGATGTTAAGAGGAAAAGATGCATTTATATCCTCTTAACATTTTAAGAAAAAAAAGTTCATTTCTTTATTACCAAATTTCACTTAATTCCCAGCATGCTCTACACTTACTGCATAACATCTGACACTTATATGTTGCACTGAAGACTTATTTAACATCTTTTAAGGACAGTGGACATAGGGTGGATTTTAATTAAACAAATATCACTTTAGAGTGCACAAAGAAATTATTTTCTACTTTGCATACCTTCATAATTGTCTTGTTGAAGTAACTATGTTTTACAGATTTAAAGCACACGATTTTACTTTAATTTCTGTCCCCCAAATAGGTATTCACATATGGTTTATAGAAATTATTTTGTTGCAAGAACGTGGCTATAATGAAGAGCATTACTGGACCTGTCGTTAAATCACCTCCCGTAGCTTTAGAACGTCCCTGAAGTCGTTAGTTTTAATACAGTCCCGTGTGTGTTAGTGAACAAGGCTCAGAGGCGGGCTAACTCTTGCACACCGGTGAAACCAATGTGTGACTGAAGAGAAGGAAGGCTACCAGGCCTTCCTGGTTTGGCGCTGACCCCGTCCCCTAACTTCTCTTTTTGGGTGTTAGTGCCGGGAGCAGGACGTCTTTGGGAGTGCGGCGTCATCGTCCCTAACCGCTGGCGCTGGGGAGCGGTCTGCGGATCTGTGGACAGAGCGGGAACCTCCAGACCCTTGCTCCTGCGCGCCAAGCCAGGTAGGCCAGCTCTAGTCTGTGCCCGTGGGCAGACACGCCGTGTCTGTGGCCTCTCGGAACAGAGGGGGTCTTGTCCTTTGTGCTGACTGAATCGAGTTTCTAAGCCACAGCAGAGCGGGTTACAGAAAGGAGTTGGAGAGAGGACTTCCTGGATTTCTAGCCAGATAGTTCCCGAATCCATCTGATCTTTTCTTCCAGGGTGCAGATTTAGAATCAATAAAAACAGGAAGGAAGAAACGACCTCAATAGGGGCAAATACTGAGTATTTAATATGCCAGGAATGGGCTACGGATGTGGGAATTCAGAGTCGAAGGAAATGCAGTCTACCCTTTAACAGACACAAAGTAAATAAATACTGTAGTTGGTGCTTCCTTTCCGAGCAGTGACTGTATTTTCGGTAGTCCCAATTCCCAACAGCTGTCTCTCTCTACGCAGCTGAAATAACCTGTTTCACCTGCACTGGTTCGGGCCCCAATCGTGTCTGTGGACCCACGCGCGCCCCTTCTATGGGTGTCAGTGGCCGTCGCAGGGCCCACGCTCGCGTTCTAGCTGTGTCGTCTCCAGGACAGAGGGTGCCGGATGGTGTGGGAAACAGTGAGGAAATTGAGCCTCGTGAAGGTTGGGTGGGTGGGGGGAGAAGGCTTCCTGTGGAACCTCAAGCATAGCTCAGAGGAGAGCAAGGTTTCCCTTCCAGATTCCGGGTGCTCGCGGACGTATCTGACTTCAGGCGGGGGTGACAATGTTGGCTAACAGAAGTTTATTTGTAATCAGGGAGAAGCAGGATTGCCAGAAACTACCGGTTCACCTGGGCAGAAGGGGGAGAAAGGAGAGCAGGTAAGACACATCACCCCAAATCCTGCGAGGACACAGTGGCTTGCTCAGAAGTGAGGCCCGTGAGGTGCCTCAGCAGGTGTGACGGGTGGAGCGGAGTGCTCATGCCTAAGTCGTAGCTCCCGAGGAAGCTTTGCTTTATATCATTGTATGAAAAATAAAAATAATTAAATGAGTAACCTCAAGACCACTTCAAGCTAAGTTTACCAATGGTTACAGATAGCCTTAGTGCTTAGGTAGCATTTACCCAGATGTGTGTTCTAGAAATGTTACTCTGAGCCTCCTGGTACTCTTCATTTTAGCATTACAGTTTTATAAATGGAAAACCTGAGGTATAGGGAGGTTAAGCTATCGGTCCTGGCCACAAAGCTTGAGGTCAAGTTGGGGTCTGAAGCCCGTGTCCTTCTCTAACCAGTGTCTGCTCTATATTCAGAGAATCTCGCGTATTCTTCATCTGTGTTCTGTGCTCAGGGCACTTTTCCTCTTTGTCATAATTTATTTTATCCTTATGACTTCATAGAGAGTAGCAGCCTAATTTTCATTTCTTTTAACCTTTAACCAGTTTTATTGGTGCTGTATGTTTGTAGTGCATGGAGTTTACGGTCATCTTGGAAAATAAGTGCATGTACATTCTACGGCGTGTTTTAGTTTAATCCCTTTCCTTGCTCTCTCCTCCTTTAATTTCCCGATCTCAGTTTTTACTCTTCTTGATATTATTAATCTGTGCTCATGTTATGGCGTATAATGTTTACATTCATTGGGGTTATTAGGTTCCTGTATGTGGCACATCCTTATTCTCCTTATTTTCCCTTCCTGCCCGCTTTGCCTCTCACCCTTGTTGCTTTGGACCACTTCTGTGTTACACCCACCTTTTCCTCCTCCTATCTATCTGTTATTATTCTCTTTGTGCTTTGCCTCACTCAGATGAGTCATACCACATAGTACTGCTTGTGCGTCTGGTTTATTTTACTCAACATTATATTTTCCAGGTGCATCTGTTATCCTACACGTCTCCCACATGTCATTCTTTAAAGCTGAATAGTATTCCATTATATATAGATACCACACTTTCTTTATCCAGTTGTTTGTTGATGGATACACAAGCTGCTTCTAGGATTTATCGATTATGAATGTTGCTGCTGAACATTGGTAACATGTATTGCTGTACTGTGATGTCTTAAGCTCTTTGGGAAAGACACCTAGAGGGAGAATAGCTAGGTCATGTGGAATTTCTGATTTTCGTTCTTTGATAAATCTCCATACTGATTTCCATAATGGTTTATATTCCCACCAGCAATGAAAGAAGATTCGTTTTTTACCTCAGCCACACCAGCTTTTGTTATCATTGATTTCTTAATGATTGCCATTCTTTCCAAACTAAGTTGGAATCTTAGCACTGTTTTCATTTGAATTTCTCTAACGGCTAAGGATATTAAACATTTCTTTCATATATTTGTTGACCATTTGTATTTCTTCCTCTGTGAAGTGTCTATTCATTTCTCTTTCCCATTTCTTGACTGGGTCTTTACTTTTATGTTTAATTTTGAGGGTGGAATCTTTATGTATTCTCGATATTAGTCCTCTGTCTGAGGGGTAGCTGGAAAAAATATTTCCCCATTCTGTCTCTTCACTCTATTAATTGGTTCTTTTGCTGTACAGAAGCTTTTTAGTCTGGTATAATTCCATTTGTTGATTTGAGTATTTTCATCCTCATCTGACAGCTGGGAGAACCACACATAGGCAAACAATATGCTTCCGCTACCACAGGTAGAAGACTCAGAGTAGAGTGATTTCTGGGTTAACCCCAACTCCTCTCTGGCTAGCAGACAGCTCCACCTTCCTGATCTGCAAAGGAGGGGGGACTGCAACACAGAAGCACCCTGAAAAGCACATGTGGTGTAACTGCTGGCAACTGTGATGCGTACACACTCACATCCACCTCTCCGACATCACCTTCCTGCTCTTTCATTGACCAGTTCTGCTGTGCTTAAGATAACTGGTGCAGGAAGAAGTTTGGTGTGTGTCGGTCATTAACCTGTTGCCTTTTGAAGATGCATTTCCCCCGTATTTAAGTAAATATCTCCACTATGACATATAAATGTCTAGTTTTGATTCACTCATTAAGACCTATTTATCGAAGACTTTAAATGTTATCTTTTTAAAAATTATCTTGATGCTGGTGCTGTAGCAGTAATAAGAAAGTGAAGGATCTGTTTTAATTAGTCTGTAATCTTGGCATGATTTGAGAAACATTCTTTCCTTGTATTCCTCAGAAATAAAAGGATTAGGCACAAACAGTAAAGATGATTCAAAAGATGATGAATATTAGAAAATATATGTCACATCTATAAAACGTGTTACACAAAAATATACCCTCGATGTACCCTACATGTACAACACCTTGAGTCCGGTCTTTATTTTCTGAGCCAGAGACTCAGCATGTAGGTCAGACTGGACTTAAGTAGCTGGATAGCCTAGTCCTGCCTCCAGCTCCAGAGCCTCCTGTGTGAGTACTGTGATTACAGGCGTGCACCTTCACACCCAGCTGATTATGATGTAGTGTCAAAATATTAAAGTTTGCAAAACTTACAGTGATGGGAGATTTTAGTGGTAGGCAGAAACAGCTGGGATGAAATAGTCTACAAAACAAAGCTAATAAGAATGCTTCCCTTAGTTTTTCACTACACTCAGCAGCATTTGGTTAACTGGCATGACCCTTGCCTTGTGAAACAGACTGCAGGTGCCTTCAGCTTTTCCGGTACTTGTGATAAACGTGGCTGTCCTGTTTCCTTTTGAGGAGTTGTTAATGAGTTTATTCCCATTCCTGTTGTACTACCTGATCCTGTAGACAAGGAGTGCTTCCCCCAGTGTTTGGTTCTGGCATATACTTGTTGGAACAGGTGCACCAACTAGCAAAAAAAAAATGATGATTGAAAGTAATTTTGTGATTGGAGCGAGTGAGTTTTATGAAATGACCCTCAGTGCAGAGTGCCAAGGAGACTAGATATTATTCTAAATCTTGACTTTTGAACTATAAGCCCAAGAGAGTACATTTAAGGGAGATAGGGCAGTGACTTAGGGAGATTATCACCGTAGAACTTGAAACGTTTAGGACCAAATCCTGTCTACCTTGGAGAGGCTTTGAAAATAATCCTTAATCATCTTAGTCAGTGGTTAATTGTGAAGAAGGAATCCAGCATACTGTACTGTTAGAGAGCACCTAGAAACTGGCAAATGAGCAACACTCAACAAACATGTTTCCTGGGGTTCCTTATCTACTGTGTAACTCTTCCCACATTGAAGGAGATACGGAGGTAATTCAGGCTGAGATTAACCTCATATGTGACTTCATTTGGGAGATAGTGCTTTAGAATTTCAATTTTTAGGTGTTGTCGCTTATAAAAATTTTTAGGTATATGCTACTTGTAGTAAATATGAGTAGTTAACTGATAGTTTCTTCAAAAGATCAATTATAGGAATATTGAGCTCTATTTGTTTTATCACTACATTACCTGATCTTTTCTGCATAGAATATACTAGTTTTACTTTTACTTTTTCTTTTTCTTTTCTTTGTGTTTTTTGAGGCAGAGTCTTGATATGTAGTTCAGGCTGGCCTCAAACTCACAGCGATCCTCCTGCCTCAGCCTCCCACACACTAGGATTACAGCACCATGCTGGGGCTGTACTGTTTTTTTGTAAAGATTCCTTGCATTGTCTCACTTAGATAATGTAGGTTACAGGCCATTCAGATAGTATTATAATTTACTTTTTCTCATGAACTGTACAAAGGCTGGCCAAAAGCTAGTGTCTTTAAATTTAAAAAAATATTACAGTAAAAGACAGTGCCATTAATCTTCCTCAAAATATTCTTCCTCATTTTTTTAAATTTTTGGTTATTACTGCATGAGTGCAGTAAGTGGTGTGCACCTTCCCTGGAGGACGTTGGGAGCTGTCCCTACACACCTCGATCCCTGTTTATCCCTCTGCCTTCTCTCTCTTTCCCTCTACCCATCCCTTGATTCCTTTCCTGTTCTGTGTGTCCACACTTATTCCATTGATTTCTCTTGCATTTATGTTTCGCTGCCTCTTCCCCAAGGTCAAAATGACACGAAACATAAATGCTTAGACTTGGTTAAAGATACTGAGGCACCAGAGTGCAGTGAAGGCCCTCGAACTCCCAACTTCCAGAACCTCTTCAGAATGTAGCAAGAACTACAGGCAAAGAGGGTCAGCAAGGGGAGTGAGGTGTCATTTAGTGTAATAGGTTTTCCTCCATGCATATCTTCTTTTTTAAATATTTTATTTCTTTGCCCATGTTTGCAGTACAAAATGATCACATCCATCATGAGGGATTTTGTACATTATACAGCACATCTTTTATTTTCCTCATGAGTTTATTGGTACATTTTAGGTATACAGTATGATTACATTCATCATTGAGATCTTGTACCTTTACACGACAGGTCTTGGCTCTCCTTTTTTCCCCTTGTCCCTGCCCTCCCTTCACCCCCGCCTTTACAAATGCTTCATTTCTATCTTAATTCTTTATTATTGCCTCCTTCCCTCCAACCCTTCCCCTCCCCACTTACAAAAGCTCTATTTCCATCTCTTATTCCCTTTCCTGTTTGCATAAGGTCTTCCTGCTTCCTAATATCTATCCTCCGTTTTGCTCCTTATCTATACTTTGGGTTTTTACATAGAGAACACAATATTTAAACTTGTGTGTCTGATGTCATGCATGTCTGATAGTTACTATAATAAATATTTTTATTAATCACCCTAGTTATGATCATACCTCATATAATTACTTTTCTCATTAACTGTAAGGTACAGCGTCTTTGGGGATGTTTCGCTTGGGTGGAATGAGATAAAATGAGGAAAAGTTTTGAGATTATCACTTCCCAATGCCTTTACCAATTATACTTTATCATTACAATATTTCTGAAGGTGTTCAGCTTTGAAGATCCTTATGATAGCTTTATAAACAGCACATTTGTTATTTGTGTAAAAACACTGAGTCAGACAAATACTCTGAAGAAACGTGTGCATATAGCACATCCCACCTATGCCAAACCCACAGGTGAGTCCCTGTTTCCCTGAAGACAAACTCCACGCCCCTCGCCAAGGTGCAGGTCTCCGCGTGTGCAGAACTGTCCCCAGCCCACCCTACTTCCTATTCATATGTCGTATGCTACCCTCTCCTCCTGCCAGGCTGCACGCACCTAAAAGATTCCTCTAGATGTCCGCTTGGTCCTCTCCGTGTCATTGAGGCTCTTTCTCAAAAACTAACTTTATAATCAAAATACCTATTCTTGGATGTCCTCATAAAAAGCATTTCTCCACCTCATGTCTATCTTCTTGCTTCCCTTTACACCTTTACTGCCGCCTGACACATAAACTTTACGTGTCTACGTTCCCCCATTTGAATATGATCTCTAAGAGTTCCATACATAGAAGAACATTTTAGGAATTTAAAAGGGTGAATGAATGAATGTCGCACCTCAGGGAAAGTATAATCAGCTCAGCTGTTTCTTGAACCTGTAAGTTGTACTTTCCAGTTACCCAGGAGTCTGCCAAGCAAGTCAGAGTCAAGTTACAAAGAAAAGCTAGACAAGGCAATTTTAGAACAGCATTATATTATTCGCTAATGTTCTTCTACATTTTCCCCCTAAAAAAAGCTCCTTTCCTGTATTGAGCCAATCAATTTTAGCTTGCTGTTTTCAATTAGTTGACAAAGAATAAAGATTTTCAAGCTACAAGTTTTGCCATGGCTTGATTTTTCTCTTCAGTTGCCTGCTTTTCTCACCCCTACGACGATGACTCATTTATGTGTTTGCTGTTTTTTTTTTATCAAGCTGATAACTCTCTCATGAAGTAATGCAGTTTGAAATATTACTGCTTATTATTAAATACTCATTTGTGATCAGTATTCTATATGGGGAAATCTAATCAAACTATTCTAACTATGCCCTTAGTCCACAACTAAACTTTGTATAACATTATTTGAGATAATAATTAATACTTTCATTCAGACTCAATTATTATAATTTTCTGAATCTTTTAATTCCCTTTTCTGAGCAAGTGTAGTTAGCAACCTAATTACTTAGCAACCACATTACTTTCTCAGTTCTTTAAGACCTTTGCTAATATCTTCACCCAGTTCAGAATCAAAATTCCTTTGGAATTTTGTAAAATGGCAGATCGATTTTCATGTTCCTGAACCTAGGAGAGGAGTGCTATCTGAACTCCTTTTGGGGAATCATTTTTGAGTTTTTTTTTTATTACCTTCTACAGCTCCAGTTAATTTCCCACAGTGTGTTGGCTTTAAGCAATAATCTCTTTACTGATATACATGGAAGCAATTTAAATGGAACACGTCCATTTATTTGAGTCTTTGTTCAGAAACTTGTGTTGATCCCTTTCAATTTCTCCCATCCTCCAGTCACCTTTGAGCAGTGAGAACAATAGTGGATTCTTCTTATTTACCTTCTGATGTGACATTCCTCAGGGTACAGTCCAGTAGCTTCTATAGATAACCATAGAATTAGCCATAAAAAAGAATTTAATTAAAATATATTCATTTTTAACAGGAGGAATACTTTTCCTTAGTAATAACCCCACAGAAGCAGGATTTTATGATTGTGACTTCTTGCCTAAATCAGTATAAGGAATGTTTCTTCATCCTTTCTAATCGCATACTAAATAGGATGTGTTAGTTGATTAGATGTGTTCAAAATTTTATCCACTCTGCTATCATCTCATCTATTTTACAGGAAATTAAAGGTGAAATTTAGTCTTGTGTCTTAAATCTGAAATGCAATAATTTCAGTATAATAGAATTATATATTTACAAAATTATAGTGCATTTCTTAATCCTCACCAAACTTTGTGTGTGTGTGGTACTGTTGATCGAACTCAGGACTTTGCTCTTGCCAGGCAGGCGTAGCACCCCTGAGCTACATCCCTGGCCCTCCACCAAACATTTTTAACAGGCCAATTCTTTTAAATACTTTATATTATCTTCCACTCTTTCAAGGTTTACTTTATCAGATGAAATTTGTGATATGGCCGTCCAGGCAGCTAGAGGTGGCCCATGGGCTTCACTGGGTAAAGTTTACGCATCTTGCTTGGCAGTGTGGGTGAAAGAGCAAGGATGCTGATAGTTAGGTTGACCCAGCTTCAGGTGTTTTCCTTGTGGATGTGTAGGTAAGTCGAGCACCTGCTACAGGATACCTTAGAGTCAGAAATTTCCCGGCTCGCTTGAATCAAACCTCAAGTAGGAAGTAGCTTTGAATGAAACTCATCTCTGGTAATCGCGATAGAGTCCTTTATTGCCTTTAATAAATGAAAAGGACAAAGTTGAATTACATAATTCTGTGTAGATGATGTAGCCTCAGTTCTGATTGTTATTTAGATATTTATTCAGTTTTTTGACAATTTGTTAGACATCATGAAAAGCCTAGTTTAGTGACTCGTCCTCAGTAGGAACAAGGAAGCTGTACCCAAGCGATTTATCTGAGAAGTAAAAAGTTGTCTTTGACATTAGCAATTAATATGACCTTTTGAAAACCTCTAATAAGCATTTCTATATTTTAGGGTATTGCGGGTAATAAAGGCGAATTTGGTGCTCCTGGAATTCCTGGGGAAAAGGTAAGTCAGTTTGTTGTTTGATTAAGCTTTGGTTGTTGAACATATAGGATGAAGTAACACACAAAACAAGCCTTACAGTTCAGGGATCAGTAAAATACAGCCCTGTAATAGGTTTGCCCAAATTGCCACTGTATGATTTTATAAATAAAGTTTTATTGAATACAAACCTGTTTGTGTATAGTCCAAGGCTGCTTTCATGCTATGCAGCAAGGCTAAATAACTGTGGCTGAGACTGTATGGCCTACAAAGTCTAAAATATTAACTGTAGAAAAGGCTTACTAGCCCTGCTCTCAAACATTGGCCATTATTCTGTTTATAGGCTGAAGGCTTCTTAAATTCACCATTTTATGGATAACACAATATTTTAATATGTATCTCAATGCAGATGAAAGTTATATGATCTGTACTACATGGTATAAGTATAGTACTACATGAGATACTATAGTGAAAAATACAAGAAATATATTTTGATTCATGCAAATGTTACAGTGAAGCATTTAGCTCACAAAGTGGCTGGTTTAAATCTCTAATACGTAAAGATGATTCTAAACCATGAATCACTCACAAGAAATTAGTATTATAATTCATCATGTTATTCAAGTTCAGTTTTCATGCAATCTTTAAAATTTTGTTATAGCTAGGCATCGTGGTGCTTGCCCCCAATCCCAGATTAAGGCAAGAGGCTCACAATTTCAAGACCTGCTGAGGCTACATGTCTATTCAAGGCCAGCTAGGACTGTACAGCAAGACACTGCTCAAGAAAACATGTTGTTTGTGTATTGAATTGCACTTGTCTCCCTTTTCACTATAATTCATGCATTCATAATAATAGCTTTGCTAATTAAAGATTTTTACATGTTAATGCTTAGAAAATTCTCTTCCTTACTAAAATGACTGCAGTTTAAATTTCCGTAGCTCTTGTAGCTGCACTGATGATCCAGTGAGTCCCTCGTATCTCATTATCTTCAAAGTCTGACCTTTGTGGTTTTTTTCACCTTAAGCTAACAGGGACATAACTGAAACTAAGTGGTAGAAGGTTCAGAGGCTCACATTATTTTTTGAGGCCCTCTTAAATACGTCTCTGGTATCTGACTGCTTCATTGATGCTGCATTTTTTTTTTCATTTAGAAATTATTCAATCTGAATTCTTCATTCCTACATGAATATAACTATTGGACTTTAAAATCTCATAATATTTGCTACAAGATGTTTGTGTGGGCTGCTATTCTCTCCCTTAAGCTTGAGATGGCATTAACAGAAGACTTTTCAACATAAGTAGTTTCTTCGAAGAAATACCTGTTAAAAGGGCTAATTATTTGAAAATGCCTTTTCTCTAGAATACTACTCCATCACCAACTCCTAAAGAGATGCACCAATCAAAACTTGCTGTACAATACATATACTCTCTCTCTCTTCCTGGAATTCACTATAATAATCTGATTATTCAGATTTCAGATCATTAAGATTTTTCAAATTATTTGGAATATAAGAATTTTTAAGTTCTTTTAGACATATATATGTTTCTATGTATTTCTATATATTTCTACGTCTCTATCTATATATATATACATGTATATATGTATATATGTATCTAGGCTGGGGATTTAGCTCAGTGGTTCCACTGCTGCCTCACAAGCGCAAGGTCCTGAGTTCAATTCCTGGTACAACAACAGCAAAATGATATTATGTATATGTGTGTGTGTGTGTGTGTGAATGTGTGTGTACACATACATACATACATCACTTAGACTATAGAATACAGTGTTGGATGTTTTTAAACCATGGGATGTAAAGTAAAACATATATTTACCCGGTAAATTATGAGAAAACAGGATAAAACTACTCTGGATTATATTAAAAGAACTTACTGAGATTGGTATAAAACATTTTAATTTTGGTGCTCCATAGTGACATCTCTTAGGTCTTTATTTAGTATTAGTAGCATAATCCACTGATTATCATGTGGGAAACAGGTTCTCAAATCCTGGAAAAGTGGTCTCAACAGATGGGATATAATCCAAGGACTCGACAAAGCAACCAACAAATTCAGTCCTGTAAATGCTGATCTACTCGATTGCAATCAAGAGACCTAGTAATAAGGAAGAGGTGGTCTGGAAAGTTAAATGCATCAAGAAATTGTCTACAAAAAAAATAGAGATTCTTAGAAAAGAAAACATTTAGAGCAATGTGGCGGGAGGCAGAGCAAGACACTGCTCAAGACACTGCAAAGACGAACACTGCTCAGAATTAAAGATCTTTCTGTTCTGAGATGTCTGCTTTTGCAGAAAGAATCTTTATTTTCCACTTGACATTAAAACGTCAATGAATATCCAGGAATAATCTACCTCTTGAGATTCTAGCCGGGCCAACTCACTTGGAGAACTGGGATCCTGGTCAAAATGGTGATTGAGTCTTCCAAAATCAGCGCACAGCACTGGCTCTGCGAGGACCGACGCCAGGGAATTGGAGAGGCTCACGTGATGCAGACGCAGCTCCCATCACGGTGCCCTAAATCCACGCACAGTTGTCCTGCCAAACATTCTCCCGTGTTTCCTTGCGCAGTTTTCGCTGGGCCTCATTTTCTTGTGTGGCTCTAAGGAGTCTCACACGCCTTCCAGAGGTGCTGACTGTGGTATCAGGTTGTGCTTGGCCCTGGGTTCCTAGTCCCTGCATCTTTGGCAACCCGGCTCCCTGGCTGTTACCATCCCAACATCTGCAGGAACACGGGGTCTCCGACGCTGTGGTTCCCCCCCCAGTGCCTCGGTCTTGAGGGCGCCGGCTCCACTCCTCATTTGTCACTTTAACTGTGACAGGGATGCGACCCTCAAAAGCAGGAAAAAAATGCCACTTCCATAATCCATAGGTTTTCACTTATTTAAAATAATTCCAATAAACATATGCTAAGAAAAACTGGCAAGAAAGTTACTGTTGTTTTATCTGATGCCGGTTAATAAATTTCGAAGTATATTACTCTAAAGAAGAAATATCAGTTCTTAAAATTTCAAAAATGTTGTCATACTTTCAAAGTTTGTTTGGATTAAAATAGAATCACATCATTTTATGAGGAAAATTCCCTATTCGATTTTTCTCTAAGTGCGTCCCCTAAGCGCGTGTACCCTGAAGAGCTCTGTCTCATCTATGCTGCAGTGGGATGCAGGCGCGTCTTCCAGAGCTGCCCAGGCAGCAGCCCGAGCTTAGCTTGGATCCTGCTTCTCAGCATTTCGGATTCTCTGGGGCATTTTTCTCTCAGAATTAGAAGATCTTAGATTACAATGAAAAGTCTAACATGAAAAAGATGAATGTCTTCCTTAGAGCAAGAACTTATGCAAAGTACCACCGAACCTACATCTCAGGTACAACCTTCTCAAAGTCAAGTTTTTAAGGTTCAGGATTTAAACGAGGAAACATTCATATTAATAGAGTGAAGCATATTCTGAGCAATATAAACTAGAATTTGAAAATTAGCTACAGTTTATAGTTTTATCTACTGTGATGCTGTAACAAATGAAATGATTTATATATGAATCCCATTATTCTAAAATAAACCTACACCTCAAGCTTCTGCAAGGTGATGCCAATAGATTTTTAAGTCAAGGACCTGAACCAAGCATTAATTTACTGAGGTGATGTTTTTCTTCTGAGATCCTGGAGAAAGATAGTACACTAAACAATGCTATGTTATGAAATCTATTTATGGAATATGGAGCCGTGGGGACTTCAAGGATGAATAGGTATAGCATCTCATTATATGCTTATAATTATAATACTTATCACTCAGTACAGACTGCACTAAGCATTCTTAATGTATGCAGCCAGCCCTGCTGTCCAACATCACAGAAAAATAACATTTATTCAGCACGGCTCCTATTTTACCTGGCAGATTTAGTAAGTTTTCTGTTATGGGTTCGCGTGAGCAAAGAGATTCTACATAGCCAGTGTTCTTTGCTAAGTGGTGAGTTCTGGTAAGCTTGGATGGGCAAAAACTGCAGTTATCAAACTGAGTAAACTGGATGGTTCACTTTTTCCAAGAGGAACGAGTAACTGGCTGCGTGCTGTCACACTTTGCTTAGGTTTGACTCTCAGCTCAGAAATCATCCTCTTCAAATTAGGCTGTAACAGATTGGCTCGTATGTCCATTTTCTCTTATGAAATGGGAATTATATTGTACATAATTTGGCTTTATTGTGAAGAGTAAATGCAATTATTCATGAAAGAGCCAGCTCAATGCTTGATAGATAAATGATAGATATAATTTTGAAAGCAGAGAGTTTAGTGTTCTATTGTTCTAAACTTTGGCCTACTGAGACCAAATTAGAACACATTCAAAGGAATTTATATATATTTTAATTTATTTAGTGGAAAATGTTAAAAGTTGCATATCTTCTACAAGTTTTACCTCTTAAACTGGATATTAGCAAAGCAAAGAATTTGTCACTTAAAGATACACACTAAGAGTAGTTTTGTGTGTGTTTTCTATTTTTTAAATTTAAATTTAAATTTTTATCAGTACCTGCTGGCAGCACACAATGATTGCATTCCTCACGGAGAATTGGTCCACATAGGTGACACACCTTAACTCATTTTACGTTCTCTTTTTCACTTCTACAACAATAGCATTAGCAGCTATTCCCTCAATAATTACCGTGTGCTAAACACCAAGAGCCTTCTTTACACCCACTCACACCTGCGCTTCAATGAGTAGATTTATTGTCACCGTATTAGAGATTAGGAGGCTCAGGTCTGGAGGGAGCTAAAGCTTCCCAGAATTTCATGACCTGCCAACAGTGCGCTTAGGATGTGAACCTCCATGCACGTAAGACTGCACAGTTCTCACGCCTTTACCGCCTCATATCTTGCAAAGAGCACCTGAATGTCCGGTTTCCTTTCTCCGCAGTTCTGGATCAGACCTTAAATTCGTTTGCCTACCAGTTTAAGGAGCGACATGTGGGCTTCGTTTCCTGCGTTCTGCCCTGCCTTTGTCTTTGAGTCTACAAAGCCCT